CTTGTCCATTGACTCACATTTAAATATTGACATAATTGATGCGCTTATCGCATATAAATATCTAATTATCAAAATTGAGTTTCTTATTTGAAAACATTAATGATTTTATAAGTTAATAACGCTTTAAAAATCGAATTTTGACAGTTAGGTTACTTTTGCTGTAGGCGTCTCACTTTTTCATACAATGACGAAGAGATCGCTTTTAAGCTTTGTCTCGATTATTTGTGATTATTTTTAATATCAGTATAATATTACAAAATATTAATGAATAAAAGTAAGATAAGAAAAATGGTATTAATTTTTAATGGTATTAAAATTCGATTTTTAAACTTAAAGCGTTATTAACTTATAAAATCATTAATATTTTCAAAAAAAAAACTCAATTTCGATAATTAGATATTTTTGCGATAAGCGCATCAATTATGTCAATATTTAATGTGAGTCAATGGACAAGGGCACCTCGCAATCGCGCACGCAATGTACTATGCCTGAGCGTGCGAATTTCAGATACCGTAAGAAGAAAACTTTAATCGTTTATAATTTGAAAAGTATTATAGCCTTGACATTTTCGTCTTAGAATGCTTTCTAGAATTTGCCAGTGAAAGGATATACGACCTTTCTCGGACATCCTGTGTATATTATTTTGAGAGAAACGTATATTAATTTAAGGCGACGTGTAAATAATTATTAAGAAAGACTGTGAAATATTAAATAATTAAGATCATAAACGCCAATACGGTACAAAGTGGATTTTGGTGCTTCCATATAATTTATATGAAACCAAAATCCGCTTTATATCGTGTTGGCGTTTATGATTTTAATTATTTAATATTCCACGGTCTTTTCTGATAATTATTAATTTTAATATTTCTTATAAAAATATTTTTGTTTCTGTATATTTCTTTTAGGGAAACAGCGGATTACAGGGAGAACGTGGCGCGACAGGTCCACGGGTAAATTTTTATTGCAAACATTATAATATTTCACAATTACAAAGGAGGATGTTAAAAAAGGACTGATTTTGGCCCATAAAGGTATAAGTAAAACCAATAGTGTTTCTTATAGATTTTGATCTCCTGAATACGATAGAATTATTAAAAAATTCATAGCGCTTGAGGAACATCTTGGGGCCAAAATTGACCTTTTTTAACATCTTCCTTTGCACATGAATGCAATTAAAATTATTTTACTGATCCAAACATGTAAAATATCTAAATGTAAATATCTAAGAATGTAAAATAAATATTACACAAACAATAATTTTAATAAATCAAATAACTTATAATAAATATTATATATAGGGTTTTAGAGGAACTCGTGGTAGAAGAGGTGCAGAAGGATTACCAGGACCAAAGAGCGACACTGGTCAGCCAGGATCCGTTGGATCACCAGGCGAGGTCGGGCCTCCCGGTGTTGAAGGTTTACGTGGATTCTCGGGACCATCGGGTCCTTCAGGTCTCAATGGAAAAGACGGTATATCAGGTCCACCCGGTGAGCGTGGTCCAATTGGCGAAACAGGGCCTCCAGGACCTCTGGGAATTCCTGGTGTTATCGGTCCTCCAGGGCCACCTGGAGAACCTGGTCAACCAGGCGAACTTGGAGCACCTGGCAATCTGGGAGCTCCGGGTGAGATTGGTTTACCAGGTGAACAAGGAAAAGAAGGATCGCCGGGTCCGATCGGTTTAATGGGACTTAAAGGATTGCCGGGTCCTAGTGGATTACCAGGATTTCTTGGTGAAAGAGGTCTGAGCGGTCTGCCGGTTAGTTATATTCAGAATAAACTTGTAAGACATAGATTTATTAATTATTAATATTTAAATAATTCTAAATGAGTTCACGAGAATTAAACAGTAAGGGTAACAGTAGGGTAACAGTAGAACAGTAAAGGCCTATGAAAGCTAACACAGATATTGGTGTGTATTAATTTTTACAATATCCAGCCTACACGCAAACTGCGCGCCACATATTCGTCGAACTTGAAACACAGTTTATTACATGAGGCTAGAATCAATGTAACAATTAAATTGACTAGCAATTTAATCTCTTTTGATGCTAACGTGCAATCCCCTCTCCCCAAATCTGCAAAGAATTTATTACGAAAAATGTCACCTCAGCTCTCAGCACGGGAATCGAACCCGGATCTCCCAGTTTACCACGGGCATCATTCGATCACCGAGGCATGTAATGAGATATTCTTCGCATTAACCGATATATATGAGAAAACTAACGCGTCTTTTTAGGCCACATAAATTCAAATAAGTATGTTTCAAGTAGAAACGAATATGCGGCGCGCAGTTTGTGTGTAGGCTGGATATTGTAAAAATTAATACTGTAAAAATTAATTATCAATATCTGTGTTAGCTCCCATAAGCCTTTACTGTTCTATATTAATATTTAATTACAACAAGACGTATATTTAATCTTAAATAAATTACATTTTTAAGGGATTGCCTGGCTTGAAAGGTGAGATGGGACCTATCGGAGTTTTTGGACCACCCGGCGACAAAGGTGCGCAAGGTGAACCCGGCAAAGACGGACCACCAGGCCCAGAAGGAAAGCAAGGGCACAAAGGAGACAAGGGTTTTACCGGACTCAAAGGCGAAAAAGTAATTACAAACTAAACAGAATTATATTAAAAATTAAAATTAAAACAAAATTAAATCAAGATTCGTATGAATAAAATTCAGAATATATAAGGATGAAAGCTAATAAGCCAATGCAGGATGCCTTTGCTTATACTCCGCACCAAAATTAAAGGATCACCTATTCTGATCGCTAAAAATAGGCAAATTTCAAGAGAATGTAACTTCGTTAAAAATGATCGTAACAAAATGATCAAAAAAGCATTTTATAGCTTAAAGTCTCTACTTTCGAAATCCATAATTCATTAAATGACTTACTAATTCTTTATAAAGCTGCATGGATGTAAATGGAGATGCATCAAATCTAAAATTTTTTTACTAAATTTGCGAAGTTCCATGGAGTGAAATAAAAATCGCATACAAAT